AAAAAGGATGTCTGTAGTGGCATCACATTCTCCATGATGGATCAGGCAATTGGTAAAATGCCAATCAGTGTCCACCAACCATTCGACAGCGAGAGCCATGAAGGCTTAAGGAGCGCTCGCACATCGTTTTAAAAGATCACTTGTGTTTGGAGTATTTGGGGGGAATCTACTCCATGTAAAAGGAAATGAGCGCCTTCTGTAAAGATGCATCAATCGTACAATGTCATCAAGAATGGCGGTGGTGGTGGCGTTGGCGGTGCTTTCAAGGGAATGAATGAAGAGACACAAGATGGTCAGCAAATCAAAGTTACTTCAACTGTCTTCTTAAACCATCTGCATATTCCTCATCAGTCGTGTCCCCCATCCGACTCCATTCAGCTCCATTCGATTGGAACCATGACATGCAGAAACATTGGCATGACATTTGGAAGCCATTTGTAGTACAGAATCACTAGATGCGCGGGATAATACCCCATAGACTTGCCACCTATTCACCCTCTCATTAAGGTAAGTGATTTTCCCGGCTAAAATGTGTAGAAACATACTCATTTAATCTCCCAACGTCAACACATCAACTCCTGTCGTGTATATTGACCAAAAATGTGGCTACTCAGAATAGCCCAGAGCCTCGTCTTCTATCAAATAATTGCTGTTTCTCTCGGTCACAGTACTTTTTCATCCGCCGGCTGCGTAAAGTTAAAAGCAGCGTCAGCTGACAGTCCAATGACACCAGATGTAAGATGTCAAGTCGCCTTGCCATTCCCACTAGCTATCGGCTATAAGACATCACAACCCAAGCAGATAAACAAACAGATAGGCAGACGTTCAGAGCCAGATTAGTGTTAATACCCTATCTTTCACAACAATGCTTTGCTTGAGAGCGCAATATCAGTTGTTCTGCAATGACAGACGCGGCAGTCATTGCGACTATCTGCTTTATCACGGCGTGAAATGGATCGACGACTTTGCGGATTCAAGTTGAAGGAAGGGGGAAGGTGGAGAAGGAGGGAAGGGATTTACACACAAGTCACACTTCACACTTTGGATTTGGATTTTTATTGGGATTTGGGTAAGCTGTGTGGTGGGTTTGTGGTGGTTAGCTCTGCTAGTTACTCTGCTGCTCCTCGAATGATTGAATTCTAGTGATTGGCTTCATGAGTCCTAAGGGTGACGATATTGAGGTGTGTTCACTTGTTAAGAATGCACGACACTTTGTAGTATTCTTTGGTGATTCTTACGCTAACTGCAGAAATTAGGGTGATGGAGAGAACGTAAAAGTGAGGAGCGAAAAGATGAAGGTGGAAAATAACTACAAAAAGTAAGGGGTGTCTAGTGGAAGGCAAGGCGAAACAGCAGCGGTTTATTGCAACCTCCGGGGTGTTGGTGTTGCTACTACTGCTGCTGCTGTTCTGTCGCACTGTGCGGGGGGAAATTTAGCTTTCGATGCGTATCCGTAGGTCTGAAAGGTGAATTCGGCTACTTCTGGAACGAATTTGTTCAGATGCAAAAGACCTCATTTATTCAACCCGTTACTGATGCATAAGTGTAGGGGGGCTATTCGATCAAGCCGAGAGTAGCCAGGATCGCCTATTGGGGCTTATTGAGGCATAAAAATCTGGGATTTTTGTAAAAATCGAGTCCAAATTACCCTTTAATCACTATTTTTAACCATTAAAGCAACCAAACAAATAAAGAACCAACCAAATAACGAAGCAATTAAATGGGCAGGTAAGTAGGTAAGTAAATGAACAAGTGAGTGAATACATTGTTCAGTGATTTGTTGCGACTTTGGTCTATTATGTTATTTGGCGCCAATGCGTATCCACAGGGGAATAACTTATTTGGGAGACTATAGAGAAACTCTTGATGCCATCGTATCAAGAGGGGTCTCAAGAATCCACTGTTGCTATGGGGAAACCCAGATATGGTTTATTCAGTGGTGGTAGACAAGCCCTACATAATTAAACACTGTATTTCCGGAAGAAGCATTTTATTTTTAGAAAGTACTGTGCGTTAGACAGGGCAATAAGACAGTCTCACATGAAAAGTCAAAAGTAATCAGTGAAATTTGTTCTCAACTGACTGTGCGGCCACGTAAACCAGACGTTTCGCTTACTCAATTGCACCATGTTGGCGCATCGGGCCTCTAGCAACTGCAGGTGCATGCGCGTTCCTGGAGTTGTTAAGTGATGGTACAAATTTGAGGAGGTAATTGGAGCAATACGAAGAACAAGTGTTTGTGTGTGGTTTTATAGGAAGCGGTTGGGTATTTGTTGGGTCATGGATGGATCCACAAGGAGACTAGCACATGTTTTTGGCGATAAAATAGTTTCCTATAACTGGGGCGTATGTGCAGGACATTAAATACCGCAACAAACTGCCACAACCATCAGGGCAACAAATATACTGCCAGAAAT